TGAAAAACTTTTACTGTGAGCTCCTGCTTGGAGGACACTCACCACCGCAACTGCGAATAAAATAGCTTCACAGAAGACCCTGTCTGAGAAACTTGAGATTTTTGGCACAGTACCAAGAATGTTCTGAAAGAATGCTGACCTGTTTATTGACTTCAGCCATTGACAGTTGTAACACCATCAGCATGCAATCTGCTCCACATACAGTAATTCTTTCTGAGTTTGAAAATAAGTGCCATTGTCTTCTGAAACGTTTGATCAAGTTTAAAATCTTCTGCTAGAAATCAACCATTGTCTAGAGTAGAACACAAAATTAAGAGAAATAAATGTGAAAAATAAATGAAAGGCCCACGCATGTTTTCACCTCCATTAAGCTACATATCTGCTGTTGTTTTCTTTTTTTTTTTAACAACAAGTCCAGAGAATAAGTTCTTTCCATTAAACACATAGAGCATTAAGACTCACCTCACTAATGATGGAGCAACAATGAAAAGGCAGGGTAGAAAGTGCTTATGCAGGATGTCTTCACAAAGACCCCTTATTCTCCTTGTATATTTTACTAACTTGAAAGAATGAAAGTTATTACAAAGGACACTCTTTTGTCTCAGCAAGGACCCAATCTGAATACCCTAAAGTGTATCTTCAATACTACCTGCTTTCACTGCTTGTCCAGTCCATATCTATTAAAACAGTTTAAAACTGTAAAGATGACATTCACTATTGTTTCCAAGTTATTAATAAAAACATCTGATTTTTTGTTGTTGTTACCTATGCACAAAGCCTTTTTTCCTTTCCTCCCATAAGTCATCATTCTCCCTATTTCCTTTGGAAACGAGCATACTAGCTTGCTTTTGCAGACAGTCACTATTGCCGGCAATCCAAAAGAACCTGATTATCTGTTGCTGTAATAAACCATACTTGATTGCATTGTGATAACTCTCATTAAGTGCAACGAGGGTGAGGGTGGTTATCCGTGATAGTTCAGTGTTCTGAATCTTACCAGACCCCCAGGCGGTTAATGCATTTTTGGTTAATGTCCGAACGGACCCCCAGATGGTTAATGCGTTTTTGGTGAATGTCTGAACAGACCCCCAGACAGTTAATGCGTTTTTGGTGAATGTCTGAATGGACCCCCAGACAGTTAACGTATTTATGGTGAATGTCCGACTGGTTCAGTACCCTGAATCTGACCGGGCCCGTAACGGTTAATCAGCTACACCCCTTAACGCGACATCCCCTTATTTCATCTTGTTAACATGTAGGTCACTGCACTTATTTATTTATTGGTAAGTGGTATGATCAGGAACAGGAGAGGGGTGGGGAAAACAAAGAGACATCTTGCAACAAGTAACACAAAGCAACAGCTTACTTACCAAGATGTTTGCAGGGGAAGAGTTCAAATCACAGTATGGTTTGGGTTGGAAGGGCCCTTAAAGACCATCAGTTTCCAACCATGGAAAGCCATGGGCAGGGACACCTCCCACCAGATCAGGTTGCCCAGGGCCCCATGCAGCCTGGCCTTGAACATCTCCAGGGATGGGGCATCCACAGCTTCTCTGGGCAACCTGTGCCAGCACCTCACCATTGCCTAAGCAATCAATTTCTTCCCAATATCTAAAGTAAAGCCACAAGTTTCATTTAAGTTATGAAAGTTATAAGTTATTTAACTTTTAACGTACTCTCCCTTGTCTTATCATTACACTCCTTGATGATCAGTCCCTCCTTATCTTTCTTGCAGGCCCCCTCCAAGGGAGTTAAGTTGCTTTATTTTATCCTATTTTACTTTGACATGAACAAAAACCAGGAACCATAGCAAACAAAACTGTTGGATAGGTACAAATAAGCCTAGGGCAGGCATAACAAACTCTTGATAAGGGGTTGCTACCCCCTCACTTTCCTCAGCGGGAGATGCTTCTGAGGAACAATACAAGTCACTGGGAGCCAGCACCCACCCTAACAACCCCAAAAAGCCTGCAGGACAAGCCCTGGACCCTATTCCTGGCATTACGAGCCGGCATCGCCACCACCACCTAGGACCCACCCCGAGCTCTGAGGGTCCCCCCGCTTCTCCACCGCCCGGCTCCCTGGGCATGCAGCAAGGCCCCAGTGGGCTTAGGCTGCCCCCACTCACTGACCTCCGGCCCTCAGGAGGCCGGGGCTGCCAGCAGGGCTCCGGTGCAAGGCGGTTGGCGGCCCTTTCCGCCGGTTTTAATTTAAATCCTCTGCTGCCGCCCAATTAGGGAGTGCAGAGCCACTGCCCCGGACGAACAGGAGGTGGCCCGGGGCTGGAAGGTGCTGCTGGGAACCGCAGCCGTGCGGGGCCAGAGAGGTGCATGGGGAGGGCCCAGGGGAGCCGCAGGGGGCTCAGTGCTTTCCCCCAGACCCGAGCGGGGCTGCACCAGGGGTTGGGCCCGAGCCCTTGCTGGTAGCGTTGTGGGGCCGCATGGTGTGGGGTGGGCTCCTTTGGGGCAGCCGCTGGGCCCCCAAGGGAAAAGGAGGGAGCGGGAAGGCCACACAGCCGGGTTGTCCCCCTGGTGCTGCCCCAAGGCATGGGGTCTGCCGTGGTGGGGAGCCTTCGAGGTGGCAAGGAGTTGTGTTTGGCCTTAGGAGTGTGGCAATGCGAGTTATGTGGCTAACGTACTTCTGTCAACGTGGTGGTTTGTTGTGTTGGTTAATAAATACACACTACAAATGTGGAGAGCCTCTTTGAATCCCGGTGATATCCCCGTCAAACTGTGGTGGCTCCCAGGCATGATGTTCAGCCTCGGTGCTGAGCCCTTCAGGTCATTAGCGCAACAAAATATGACAAGGGTCTGAAGTTTAAAGCTATCTTTCCATGCTGCACATGGAGAAAATGGTCATTTCTCAAAAGGTGTACACTGATATCAAATCTGGGATGATCCCCTGTCGTGGTTTAACCCAGCCGGCAGCTAAACACCACGCAGCCGTTCGCTCACCCTCCCCCCTCCCTCTCTGGGACGGGGGAGAGAAATGGAAAGTGAAGCCCGTGAGTTGAGATAAAGACAGTTTAATAAGACAGGAAAATAATAATAACAAAATAATAATAATAATAACAATAATAATAATAATAATACAATGGTGATAATAGGAAAGTAATAATAATATGTACAAACAAGTGATGCACAATGCAATTGCTCACCACCCGCTGACCGATGCCCAGCCTAACCCCGAGCAGTCCGGCCCCCTCCCCCCGGCTAGCCACCCCTATATATTGTTTAGCATGACGTCAGATGGTATGGAATACCCCTTTGGCTAGTTTGGGTCACCTGTCCTGGGTCTGTCCACTCCCAGCTCTTACTGCACCCCCAGCCTGCCCGTTGGCAGGACAGAGCAAAAGGCTGAGATGTCCTTGGCTTAGTATAAGCACTGCTCTGCAACAATTAAAGCATCGGGGTGTTATCAGCACTCTTCTCATCCTAAGCCAAAACACAGCATTCCACCAGCTACTAGGAAGAAAACTAATTCTGTTCTAACTGAAACCAGGACATCCCCTAATCAGTTGTGTATCTCAGCCTCCTGTGTGCAAGCACAGGCATCAAATTTTCTTGAAAAGTGCTTGAATAGAGTAAAGCATTAATGTTTAGGTATACTTTTGATCCAGTTGAAAATTAACTTTTTCTGTGCAAGTACAGAGACATAGAGGCACTATCTGCAGTTGGGTTGGCTTATGTCATGAAATAAGTATTCTGCAGAATAGTGTTTGCACTTAGAGTTTGGTGGTTTTAATTCTGCTTTTAGTTAGATACCTATTGTCCTTTAAAAAGGTACACCAGGGAAGAGAATTTGAACGTAATAATACATATTTTGTTGTCATTTGCTTGAAATTTTTAAAATTATGTATGTGACTTTTCTGGTACGTAGAGTTACTTAATCCCATGTCTTAATAGGTTGCCATCAGTAGCACAAAATCTGCAGTTGTTACTGATGTCTGTAGAAAAAGTTTTGAATGTCTGTTAGTGAATTAGGTCAGTTAGGTCAGTTAATCTCTTGATTGTTGGAATTACGTGTTAAATCTGGATATAATGAGCTTAAGTTGACCTTTTGTGTCCATAAATATGGTGTTACAAGAAATCTTGATTTGTTGCTCCACAAATACTTTTTTTTCTTTATGCAAATACATAATGCATGCTTTTTAATACTTTCCAGATAGGAACATTGACCTTCATCCTGAAGAAGACATCACTTCCATGATACTTTGACATAGTCCCCTGAAAATGAAGCAAGATTCTACTAGAAATGCTGCTTACACAGTGGACTGTGAAGATTATGTGCATGTGATTGTACTGGGTCTGGCTGGAATGTTAACTTTCCCGGCAGCAGCCCATACAGTGCCGTACTCTGTACTTGTAGCTGGAACAGCAGTGTTATCACACCAGTGTTGTGTCTACTGCTGAGCAGCAGTGGCACAGTATTGGGCCTTTCTCTAACCCTCCTAGGGGATGGGCAAAAAGTGAGGAGAGAAACATCACTAGGGCGGCTGACCTAAACCAATCAAAGGGATATTCCATACCATGTGATGTCACACTCAGCAATAAAAGGTGGAAACAGGAAGAAGAGGGGAGGGGTGGGCTCTCGTTGAGAAGACTTCGGTCCTCCTCTCAACACCGCCTGCTTGCGTTGAGGCCTTGCTTCAAGGACGTGTTCAGTCATCGCTCATTTGTGGGAAGTAGAGAGTAATTTCTTTCCTCTGCACTTCCATATAGCTTTCATTTATTTTGTTTGATTGTTTTTCCTCCATTCTTTTTATTTTCCCTTTTCCCCTCCCTTTTCCCCTTTCCCTTTTTATTTCCCCTTAGTTAAATTGTTTAGTTCGTGGTAGTCTTTATTTAATTATTATAATTTTTTCCCTTTAATTAAATTATCCTTATCTCAACCCATGAGTTGTTCTTTGCTTTACTTCTCCCCCTCCTCATCTAAAGGAGGGGGAGTGAGAGAGCGGTTGTGGGGTTTAGCTGCCCAGCACGGTAAAACCACCACAGTGATAAAATTCAATCCATTTGATAGTGGAGATGCATGTTCCCTCACTGCATATGGTGGCAATAACTATGTAGTTGTAGGGACATGTAGATTTCAGGTTAGTTTTTGTTTATTGCTTTTATGAGTTGCTTCATGAAACTGACAGCATGTCTTCTGACAAAGTCACTTTCCTGCTTCTTTCCTTCCCCATTTTGCCGGGAAGTGTTTTACTCCTTTATTACATTATGACTTTGGGATATTTGGTCTTAAAGAGAAAAAAATGTATATATAAATACATATTGGTATTAGCATCCTGCTTGTGTAAAGTTCTTTTTGAGTAGGCTGCAATGAAAACAGGAGTGCTCTACTGGAAGAGTAATCCCAGTTCAGTATTTCTTGCAAATGTTTGTGACTACTACCTGGGAACTTAAGCAAGTAGCTTTGGAAATATGTAACTTAATATTTGCTGTATGGTGTTTTATTTTTTTAAGGCTTTCAGGTGGCTATCAAAGCAGCAAAGATTTCAAATACCCGGAATAGAAAGGAATAATGAAAATTTCCAAAGTAAGTTTAGAGACATTTATTTTAAGGAAGGACAGTGGCAAATAATAACTTAATATACATCTGCTTTCTAGGTTATTTTTTTTACATCTCTCTTACAGACTGTTAGAAACAGTAAAATGTGTTTTTTTACCTTGACATTATTTCCAGTCACCATATCGTGAAAATTTTTAAAAAGATAGCATACTGTGTATATTTATATGTAATACTTTTTTTTATTATTATTGAGGCACTTTTTTTTTTTTTTTTTTTTTTTTTTTCCCTGGGTGCTTGAAAATTGATAGTAGAACACTCTCATCTTTGGAATCTATTTTTACTTTTTTTTTTTTTCTTGAGCTCACTTCTCCGTTACATGGTACTATTTTTATACTTTACTATCTAATATAGAAAACAGTATAACTGGTCTTTATTATTCCCCAAAGTCTTACTGTTGGAAATTTTCTGAAAATCACCTAGGTCCTTCCTAGCTTCTACATTATGCAGAGTGTATACAGAGAGATTTTTTTCCTTAAAGCAGAATTGTGCCGTAGAGAACATTTCATCAAAATAGCCTTCATACATTTTGAGGTACTACTCAGGATGCTTTGAGAGCTTTTTGGAGATAAGTTGATTCATTAAGTCCACAATCCCAGCAATTGTTTCATCTTTGTCAGCATCCAGTTCCCTCACCATTGGGAAGAATAGCCAAGGTAGTAATTTTGGTCATTTTAAATGATGAAGGGTGCCTTTTTACCTCCTGTTGTTCTTCCAGAACAACCAGGTTGTTCTAGCATTTTTCCATAAAGTAAAACCAACTGGGAGAGAAGATAGCCTACATGGCCTCCTTGCTTTTGTTCCCATTATTTCGCATTGCAGTGTGTGCTTATCATGCTGTTGTCAGTGGTTCTGGTTGTATCTATGTTGATATTGAGCACAAAGAATGGGCTCAGCATGTTCCTCTGGCAAATCTTCTTTTTGTGCAATGTAGGTTTGGTTTTGTGCTATGTTGACTTTGGTTTGAAACTGCAATCATTTCATGGATTTTTACTTACTTACATATTTCAAGTAAATACTTTCTTTATCGCAGCAGACACATCTAACTTTCAACTTCATATCAATCTGACTTGTTAGAAGTCATCAACCTGTTATTCTGAATTAGCTTACTACAGTATTTCTGTAGGAAGAGGATGCAGAAGTGGAAGGCATGCAATATAAGACACTACGAACATTTTGTCATGGAATCAGAGTTGATGCCATAGCAAGGAGTCCAGAAACTAGACTTGATGCTTTACCTCCCCAGATAAGGTATTTCGAATAAATTACTATAATGAGTCCTTGTCTCATATCTGTTTTCTCATATCTGTTTTCTCTAAGTTCTTAGTATTGAACTAACTTTAATGCTTACAGCTGAAATCTAACTCTGAAGAAATTGCTGTTGGAAGTCTGTGAACACCATTGGAACAACAGTTTAATTCTTAGTCATCCTTATATATTTTGTTCTGCTTCCTGAGCCCCTTACTCTTTCCTCCCCACAGTAGATTCACAGTAGACACTAGATTTTTTAATTTTAATTGACCTGTAATCTAGTTAGTCTTTTTGTTGTATGTATCTGTATAATGTGTATGTATCATTGTAAGAATGATACTAGTATCATGGCCTGCTTTGTAAAATTACATGTGATGTTCTCCATAGTATGGGCTATGTTTAGGAGTAAGTTGGATGCGATGTTCTCCATAGTATGGGCTATGTTTAGGAGTAAGTTGGATGCTATTTGTGAGACCTGTCAAGCTGTAAGTCTAGAAAAATGGTCAATTATTAAATATGCACTTAACAGGAATTCAGATGTTCTCAATTGCTTGTAAGCCTCTTCAAAACTATACTGGTTGCTTACTGCTGCATATTTTTACAGTCTTTTGTTTAAAATAAGTTGGAGACTGGTTAATAAATTATTCCATAGGTAATTTAAAACACTGATGATGAGGGTTCTGTTTTCTCTATCAGCCACTTCCTCCAAGGTAAATTCTGTGGCAGTTATAAGAGAGATTTCAGGTAATTCACAGTTGATTCAGATTTAGCTTTGTCAAATGCTTTGTATTACTTTCCATTAAAAAGTATTCTTGGCACTTAATACACCATATTTTATAGGCAAGTTCCAATTATAACTCTAAATTCTTGATGCCAAAGCAGAAAAATTAGAATATACGTTTGATTGAAAATCTAAATTTCCTTTTGCATGTCATTTTGCAGGTTTAAAATGGGGTGAAACTCTTGATTGATCTGGTTTGGTTTGTTCTTTTATCTGTTTATTTTTATTTTTTAACACTTAAAAAAAAAATAAATTGCAGTGCTACCTGACAGAAGGACTTTTCTTTTTCTGTTGAGTGTAGGTTTTGTACAGCAGCTTCTGATAGGAAGTTAAGGCTATTTACTTCAGACCTGCAGGACAAGAATGAATATAAGGTAAGGGTAACTGAGCTGATATTGAATATTTCTTTAGTCTCTAGTGAAGTCTAATCTTTCACTGAGCTTGTGCTTCACTTTTCCTAATGTACAGTATGATGCAGAACACTAAACTCTGGCAGACCCATCATCTCTAGCAAAGATCAGTGTATTGAATATACCTTTATATCTTTAAAGTGGGCATAACTAATTATCAGCTATATTATATTTTGATTTAAAAGTATTTATGTAACAGCCAAATTGACAAAAAGTAAGTAGAGGTTTATTTGTGGTCTAAAACATGGTCTAAAAATATTCTACAGGTGAATTTGAAGTACTGTGTTGGAAAAGGTTCCTTTACATAGAGACCTGTAAAATATCATGTGGTATTGTTTATTAGACTTGTCTATTTGGAGAGCAAATTTAATGCTTTGTCTCTTTCCTTGGGGAACAGGAAAGTTGCAATGAAACCATTTCGTACAGTAGAAGATTTAAAGAAAGAATATTGAATTTTGTACGTAGCTGCAGACAGTTATATAAAACATGGCCATGGGCCAGTACTTGTTGTCTAAAATAAAAAGAAAGGGAATGACTCCTTCAAATACATCTTCGCTTCCTGTTCTTTCAGTGTAGTGTTCTTTCACCAGTGATGTAAGAGGTGTCAGGTCTAAGAGATTTCTGTTGTTCGTAAGGCATTCTTGTCTTTGTAACTCCTACGTCACTTGGGTATGTACTTATTCTTCAAAATTTTGCCTTTGAAACAATACCCCAGTCCAAATATTAATATTAATTAGATGTTCATTTGAATTTGTTTTGTTGAGGTTTCAGACAAGAACAAGCAAAGCTAATCAATGCTGAAAAATCAGGGGTGAGGGTTCCTTCTTTAGTGCTTTGGAATATGATAATGCCTCTGAAAGTTGTGTATTCAATATGAAGGGGAAAAGAACTGGCTTTCCTTTGTGGTTTGGCAGTATGTATTAGTAAGACAATATTTGCCATACAGAAAGTAAATTAATTGCAGATGTCACTCTTGGTCAAATAATAATAGAGTGAGTAAAGCTATATATAAGTAAAAATGGACATTACTAAAAAATAAAAAGTATTTCAATTTCAGAAAAGGTGTTCTATGTTACTTCATGCATGCACCTTCCCATTTTTTCCTTCCTTCATGCTTGGTCCATCACCTTGTATGGCCTTGTCAGCCAGGAAGTAGGATAACTGACATGGTTGCAAAGAGCTTGGCTGGCACTTCTAGCAACATATTTCTAGAAATTGTTAACGTTGTTTGCTTGTAAGTTGATGTGTGTCACTCCTTAACCAAAGTTACCATTTTATATAATATCTGTCAGTTTTATGATATTGTAGACAAGCAGCTTTGATGGTGTGAGTTAATCTTTTAACTTTTTTTAGCAGAATATAAAGTTACTTTACTCATTACGTATGTCTGTTTTAATTTGAGAAATTTATAGAATTGTCTGTAAGCACGCGGAAGAAAGAGAATAGGTAGAGTCATTAATAACAGTATAGACAATGGAATGGTTAATTAGTGGAAATAATCAAACACATAGAAGAACCTGGTACTACAGGCTCTAAATTCAGCTGTCTAGTGTCTCTCTCTTTTTTTTTTTTTGGATTAACAATGGGCCTGATGGACTGTCTGCTAAAATCAGTGACAAGTCTCTTCATTTCAGCATGGTTCAAGGCATGAATGAGTGTTTTTTTCCTTGTGTAATGAATACAAAAGCTTTAATTATTGGGTGTTAACGACCAACAAATTTTTGTGTTTTTGCCAAAAATTGTGAAAAAGTGACAGCTGTGATAGTTCATAGCCTTCATACCTCTTTTTGTCTCCTGTCTCTTATCATCTGGTCTTTAGCTGAAGGTGCTCTTTTATACATTCTGGAGCAGACTTCATGTCTATACTAGCTTTCAGACTGTTGCGCATTGATTTAGGACTCCTTCCAGACCAACGCTAGGAATTCTCAATGGGATATGCTGTTTTCCTCAATAGGAACCCATTGCTTCCAGTTAAATAAATACATATGATAAATATTCAGCATTACAACTTCACACAAATGCATTTTTGATGCATTATGAACTTAAACTTTTTTAAAAATAGAAGTTGAAATAAGCAAGTTTATTCTAATGAAGAATTATATTAGGCTGTTTATTACTGATTTATAATAAGATTACAAAAAAAAAAAAAAAAAAAAAACACTTAAAATAATCATTTTGAATATACCTGATGAGACAGTTATTTTGTAGTTTACTGTCAATGCATGATCAATATTAAAACCAGAGAAGCAAAGGCGGCAATGCAGTAGCACAGTCTGTGCTACTATTCTATTCTATTCTGAAAAAATGCTCTTTTTTCAAAATAGAATTTCTGTGATGGGTTACTGTTTTTCCCAGGTCTAACAAGTTTTTTTTTTTCTGCTATGTGACCAATACAAATTAAACTTTAAAACATGTATTTCTAATTTAGCGGAATATATTACACAGTAGATTTGTCTGGGTGCCTACAAATAAATTTAAAATGCCACACTTATATTTCTATTGTGAGGAATGTGTTAACAATTCGTGTCCATAAAGAACAATTCTGTTTGAATCCTGTCTGCCTCTGGGTCCTGCACTGGCAATTTAATTCTTGAACCACAGATGCAGTGTGTCCCAGTCTCCCCCTCATTCTAGTCAATTTATCACGTCTTCAGAAAACACTCCTTAAATTTATGAACCTGTTTGCTTTTGTTATTCCAGACTTCTAGTTCTAACAGTTACAGCCTTTTTTCCTGTCTTCTTCGAGATTAACTTAACACTGCTATAGATGTGTCTGTGAATGGCTGGGGAAGAATGTTTTAATTACTCGTGAAGCGTCAAATAAGAAAGCTGTTTGTGTTTGATGTCTGGGAGTTTCAGAACAACTGATAACAACTAGTGACTGTTATGGGATACTATGAGGATCCTTGGTATCTGGCCAGGGGGGCCAAGAGATTAAGAGGAAGGAAAAAGAAGCTGAAGGACGGTTGGGAGACAAGACCTGCAGAAAGTGTTCTATAAACTTGGAATAGTGCTGAGTGAGTACAGAGGTGAGAGGAAGACTACGAGCCTTCAGCATGAAAGACCCCTAGAGACCCCCAGAGGAGACTGATGCGCCTGCTCCAGTAGGAGGGACTGGACCCCGGAAACTAATTATAATAACCTGTTTTTTCAGAAGTAGTAATGAATATGTATTAGTCTAGGAGCATAAAAATTAGCTGCTTGATGTAACTGGTGTGCGTCCTGGTGGAGCGGAGACTCCCGGTGCACCCAGCGCTGTTTGCTTACCTCTATTCCTTTATATTCTTTTAATAAATGCTATTTTTTATTTAATCCTAATTTGAATCCTAAGCCATTTATAACACTATTAAGATAGCAATTATTTTTCATACAAAAAGATTCTTTGGAGAACTGATTCTTCTACCCTTAGGACTTCTTTCTAACACAAACTGTGCTGACCTGCAGTTACAAGCTTCTACTGCAAAAGTATGTCAATTACGTAACACATCTGAAAAAAAAAATATGACAAGTTGTGAGTGTAATGATCATAGAGGATGTATTAATACAAGAGGCGATACAACTGTGTGGCCAGATGAAGCTACAATAAATGGTTTATTTTTGATGCAACAGAATACTAAAGACCATTTGGGGCTTATGCTATGCAAATGAGAAGTTTCGGCTTCAGTTTAGCAATGAAGTTATTAGCGCTGTTTATGCCAATTTCACCACTGGAACTTAGTCTAAGAATTTCATCAAGGGTATACTGAGACTGAGGAAGAAGTAAAAATTCCTGTTTTTACTGGATCGGGCTTGCTCTTAAAATGATCAGAAAACAGCCTAAAATGTGGATTATTACCTAATAGTGAGAATCTCATTAGTGAAAAGGAATAGTGTGCTTATATTGGGGGATTGGACTAGATGATCTTTCAAGGTCCCTTCCAATCCCTAACATTATGTGATTCTTTGGTAAAAATGTCTTTAAGCACGTTCCAGGCTTTTGTTTGTTTGTTTGATTTTGTGTGTGTGTTTTTGTTGTTGCTTTGACAAAAAGTGGAGAAAATACTTTCTCCAGGTAGTCATCATAGTTTCTTATACTTGGATGATCATTGAGCTATATACTTCTTGTGACTGAAAAAAAAAATAACACCTGACTCCCATCTAATGTATTTGGAAATCTCAGAGGTTCACAAATATTCTATGAGCTATGCCGAGTTAATTTTAAACAGTTTGATAGAATGGTTTCTTAGTATTAGTCAATCAAAACCTCAGAAAAATTATTTCATGAACCTAAGGTTGAATACATAATGAACACATGGAAGACTTTGATCCATTTTACAGTGCACACTTTACATATGAGGTTTCAAGAGAGGTACAAAAAGTGCAAAAAAGCTGAGGGAAGTATGTCATTACAGTCAAAATGTAATCTCTGAACATTTTGTCTTTTATATTAAACAATTTGTATGTGTTGCTTCTGGAGGGATAGACGGAGTAATCTTACTCTGTTTTCCCAGTGGAAAAACTGTCTTGATGTAATTATCAACAAGGAACTTCAAGCATACTGAGTTTTCCATTACTTTGTCAACACAACTAATCCAAAATTTATGGGCTGGATCAAGCCCAGAACAAGAAACAAAAGGTAAAGTACAGTTGATGGATCTTTGTGAAGTCTTTTCTTGTTCTCAGGTTTTCATTTGGAAATGAATTGTGGCTTTCTTCTCCTGCTTCAGATTTTGCTTAATAAAAAGCATATTTCATCAAAACTGTGTATGTAAAATGAGGCAGGATATTTGAATTCTGAATGCTGAAAATTTTCAAAAGACTTGCATTTCTGTCTAAAGAGTTTGGCATCATCTTAGGATGTATTAGTTCTAGTAAAATCCACAAGGTTTTATTGAAATTATGGGCTGTTGGGGGAAAAAAATAACTTGGCTGCTGAAAGTGGTTCTGTATTGAACTGATGTATTGAACATTCATATCTTTTTAGAGGGGCAGATTCATTAT